ATCACTTCTGTCGAATAAGATGGTCTGGTTATGAATTCCCATCACTTCTGTCAAATAAGATGGTCTGATTATGAATTCCCATCACTTCTGTCGAATAAGATGGTCTGATTATGAATTCCCATCAGTTATGTTCAGTGAAAATGGTCTAAATACGAATTTCCATCAGTTATGTTCAGAGGGATGGTCTGATTAAGAGTTCTCCTCAGTTCTGTTTAGTGAGAATAGTCTGACTACGAGTTCTAATCATGTCTGTCCAGTGAGATTGTTTTATTTTAGATGGTCTGATTATGAATTCTCATCAATTCCGTTCAGTGAAATGGTCTGATTATGAATTCTCGTCAGTTCTGTTCAGTATGAGAGGGTCTGATTACGATTTTTCATCAGTTCTGTCAAATAAGGTGTTCTGATTACGAATCAGTTCTGTCAAGGTGAGAGTCATCTATGCATACATATATAAGGTTAACGCAGAGTTATTGTTACCCTTTTCTTTAGTGTAATATAACTTACATCACCATTACAGTGTTATCAATATTGTTTGGTTATCTTACCTTACACCACCACAATAATAACAATATAATTTGGTTGACTTACCTTTCACCATTACAATGTTACCAATATCATTTGGTTGATTGAAAGGTATCTGATAATAGTCACTCAATCGATGTAAATCTATTCTCGAATACAACTTCTTATTACGACATGGAGGTTTGTTTTCTGAAATTAAACTTGAAAATAAAAGTAGGACATCGATGACACATAATACCCATGTTTTTCATAGACACCTATAATATATATTATTTAAAATAAGCTCAGGTAAAACGTACAACCACTCAAGGTATAACATGAAATTGTTTCCTTGAAACATTTTATAGTTTTATGCTAATTTTGGACATTACTACCCACTGGTCAATAAATGCGTTAAAATTTTGAGAAATTTCGATATTGAAAAAGTTGTGCAGGTTTGTTTTGTGAAAAGTATATTTAAAGGGTCTATGGCACATTAAATATATCAATACCAATTCTGTTATTACGCGGAAATTACGGAAATTCTGTGTCATCAAATGAATGAATGTGTTATAGAAAAATTAATACACTTTTGTAAAAACATTTACTGGGCGAGGTTACGGTGAATTTCAAGAAGGTATGATTTAAATAATATTGATAAAACATTTATCCTGGAGATCCTTGCATTTCATTCAATGCAAAGAAGATACGAAAGGTATATTTAAGGCATTGTGATTGGCCAAATCATTATCAGTCATTACATACATATACCGGTAGCATGTAATAATCACTGTTTTTAAACTTTGCATTGCATGGCGATAATAAACAATATATATATACAAAATTAATATATCACTACTAAATTAATTGTATAAAGTTGAATAAAGCTGAAAAAATATCGATTTATTTTTCATGTTATTTAAACTTTCATCCTTTGTGCCATTTTGTGTCAGTTCATATTTCGGTGTTCTGCTATTAGCAAACAACCGTTGAAAACAAATTGCCTTTCATGAAGGGATTCGTAGTGGTAGTGGCAGAGCAAGCAGAAAATGGCATAATTACTTTCCACATCACCCCCAATGAAGAGATAACATTTCCTGTGCATATTGTTATCACGTATGATAATTAGGCTATCCAGCAAAATTGGAACAATTATTAAATAGGGTTGATGGCCAAAGTTGCTTCATAACTTTATATATTACACGATGTATCTTTAATACATCTTTAATGTTTTGAAATATAATAATCACGAAACAATAACTGTTAAATAACTCACCGACACGACTCACGATAGCACCAAGATAGAATGGTTTCAATTTAAGGTCAATGTTCCACTTGTATTTGTATCTACACAATATCTATAGAAAGACAATTATAGATACAAGCATACTACATGTACCAATGCTGATATCTCTTACAGACACATTTGAAAGATATGATAATAAAAACAATATGTTTGCATTCATTGACTGACAGGAGTATATGACATACTATAATATCCTGGCGGATCACGAAACGATGATGTTCAGTAGTGCTTTATATTTTTATTTTAATTTGCATCTATCTATCCACAGCGGCCTGACGATCTATTAGTGGCATTACATATAATTTCTATTATTTTGAGCACGGGGACATAGACTTCCATGTATTAACACGAATAGATCGTCAGGCCCTTGTGTATCCATCAGTGTTTATTTCGATATGCGGCCAGGGTGTGTGGGCGGCAACACAAGGAAAACCGTCGCAAAAAGCGTCTAGAAGCATAGATGAACATAGTATTATACACAGGAAACAAAAGCTATTAACAAATCAATAATTTAAAATGCTCACCTCGAATCCAATCCACGCAAACGGAGACAAAACATCGTAAAACAGTTCAACTGTTTTCTTGACCAGCAGGGCCATTTTGTGTAACCTTTGACCTACGTACCACTTAACTTGTCGTTTTTTTTATTTATGTGACTGCTTTCTTCATATGTTCAATTTTTGGGGGGTTCAAGACTACTTACACTCGAGGTACCGACAAATGATGGGCCTCGCCTGCCCCTGAAACGGGACACGGACAGCTGATCACGGGAAAATAAACAAAAACAAAACAAAAATTTGTCAGCAAGAGCCAGTGTTCTCGTTGGGTTACAGGTCGATATTTCGAGGGTTTATGGGGTTTATCAGTCCGAGGGTTTATTTTTTCGCGGGTTCATTAGTCTGAAGTTTCAATAATCTAAGTATTCATCGTTAATTATTTTTTTTAATGACGTAGTACAGTAATACGTAATGTGGTTATCATTCCACCCAGACTAAGAAAAATAAAAACAAACACAATGACGATAAATTGTATTTATAACTGCCATTGAAATTCTGTGAACCCCCTAAATTCTCTACATTTTAAAATGTTTAGTAGGCGCTTCTTCTAGTTAGTGTTAACCGTGTGGCTGCATTCGTTTGCAGAGTGAACTTGTGTCCAGTGTATCATCGGTTGGCATACACACTAAAACACAAACTAAACACGACGGTTGAGTAACAAAACATCGTTGTAGTCTACACACAGCATCTGACTTTTACGCGCTGTTCAATGTTCCATAGTCACTACCCCATTTTCTTTTTTATTGGGAAAGGTGTTATTGAGATGTTATCATCTGTTGATAATTTATTGTAAACGACAATAACGATAGACAAATTGTAAATGTAAAACATATTATGCAGAAATATTGTAGAAAAGGTATGCAGTGAAAATACAAGAAAGACTATAATATACTTTCATGCTGAATTCCCTTCTTTGGCCGTTTTCAAAGAAAACAGTTTAAAAGAATAAAATCATTGCAAAAGTGCCGTCTAGTACAAAAATGAAAACAATTTACCACAGAAGACGTGATACTGCATGTTTTTTACCATATAATTATCAAAACATTATCAATCAATTATCAATATATCAAAGAGTTGTCTAATATCGGACAATTATCATTTTGTCTTGACTACTAGAGGTATTAAATTATTATCAATATTCGGATTCTTCGTCTCTATCAGAGAATTACTAGTCCAAAAACAGAGAAACTTCAAAACGAACAATCTCTAATATTGATCGAAATACGATTTTTAGACATTATTGAATTTCTACAATATTACAAGAGAATTAATGTCTTACGAAACGGGAGACCTAATAGTAGTCATACTCCAATATCAATCTAACAACGTTTTTTCTCTCTTAAATAATGATGTATTCACGTTTTTAGATAAAATGAAATGTTGAATATTTAACGTAACTAACAGATAATAAAAAAAATGCCTACAACACATTCTAATATGACGATTTTTGTACAGCTCGTACATTGTTGAATATATTGTTGGAATAAATGCGAGTCAGACTTTTTCCAGGCAAAAAAGGAACACAATATTTATCTGTGGTGCAGTCGTTATTTAAGTTTATCTTTTTTGCAGTCGTTATATGTTAATTTACTCATATACTTAACATTGTTTCGGACTATCTTAAGATTAATGACCAACATCATATCTGTACTATTCGAAGAAATTAATACCAAGCATGTGCAGCTAGGTACAGAATTAAAGCACCTATAGTTGTAATACAAGCTTTAGGGTAAAATACTAACGAAGTTTATTTTATACCCAAAGTGCATAGGTTTTGACATTTAAAATGAACAACTTTTGAAAGCAGCACAAAATTGTGAAATCTTATGGTTTCTGATGGCTGGTCAAAAAAGAATCAGTAGCTGTGCAACCAATCAGTAATATGTGTTATGTGCTATTAAGTTGGGAGACAAACATATACTTGCAAAGAAAAATAATTGATTGCCATGAAATGAAATATTGTATAAGCAAACAATTATCACTCATCATTGTGTCAAGCAGTTTTAGTGTCTGAGTGATAGAGGAACTTAGTTGGGATGCAAAATAGACACTTTCCAAAACTTTGTCTTAAATATCCAACCCCTTTATCCTTTGAACATCAAATATAATTAAAAAAAACTAAAACAACTTGTATGTCTTCACACAAACATGAATCAATTAATAAATCAATAATTGCATGATTAATAGTTCTTTTGTTTGTTGATTGTTTGCTGAGAATTATAAACTGTGAGTTTAGGTAAGAATTATGCTGGTTTATGTTCCATTTGATTGTGATTTCTATAATTGTTGAAAAAAATAACATTATATATAGCACATTAGATCAAGAGTTGTATTCACTGTCATAAACAATGCATACAATATCACAAACACTTCATTGCAAATGGTTTTAATAATAATCTTTATTAAAAATAATTCATTTCACTCACCATCCTGACATTTATTTACAATATAATATTCCCCAATTTAAAAAACAATTGTCCCAACATAAAGTCACCATTATATATATATATATTTTATCGTACATCAATCATTTCCACATTTCCCAGATTAAATAGACTACATCAATGCGGCTTTGTTGTGGATTGAAGTTCTTTGTGGTGATGTCATTGCAAATCAAACTTCTAAGTAATAGCTTATAACTTGGAAAGTTCAGGCAAAGGACCTTCATATTTCTCACCTGTATAAAAAAAATAACAAGCCAAGCATGGCACAGTCCTTGTTAGTTAATTTAAGATAAATAGTTTTGTTTATAGTAATATATTTGGGATATAAACAAGTCAGCAATATGGATCCAGAAGCTGATGAATATCTATGATGTACAATTAGTATATAAAATTTGAAAATAATTAGTCAAAGCATGTCAGAAATATGACAATAGAACTGCATTAATTAAAACAAAATGGCCGCCAGTCAAAACATTTTAACCAGGTCGTCAAACCAATACATCTGTATATCTATTACATGATGTTTGATGGATATATGAAATTTGAACATAATCAGCCAAAGCATATCAGAGATATGGCTCTAAAACTGCATTCATTAAAACAAAATGGCTACCAGTCAGCCATAATGAATCCTATTTGAAGAACAAAATGACGTGCATCAAGAAGCAATAATGTCTAATGTATGTACCAAGCATGAACGAAATCAATTCATAAACGACCAAGATTCGGTTCCGGAATTCTAGAAATATTTGATTTTTGATGAAAAATGACCGCCATTTGGTGATCGAGAATCAGATCGTGAAAACAAATTAATATGCATATGTGTAATATTATGTAAGATGTATGAATGAAGTTTGAATTTGAACACACAGAGATCAATCTATAAGTCGGATATATAGCTTTGGAACAGCATTTGTTTAAAAAAAATGTTTGTTTGCAAAATGTTATAAAGGTGATAAAATATTGACATCAAATTTCACAGCGTGAAACATACATACACATAAAAGTGTGCATACCCTTATTTAATCTACACTTTGACATACTTACCCAGTAAATGTGCTATAAGCGGCATTCTATCAGATCCAAAATACATATGAGCTTTGCCATCAACATGAACTAATATAGTGGGTGCTCCGAAGGCCTGAAATAAATATATAAATTATCACGCATTTTTGTAAACAAATTTAGACACACATAAGTGACTCCCATTGCAAGCAGTACCATGTGGTCAAAATTCTCCATTGTGGTCAGTTGAGTAACAGTTGCGTAACCATTGTGGTCAGAGTAACAGGGGCTAGTGCCCCATTTTGGTCATACAGAGTAACAGTAGATAGTAGAGCCCCATTGTGGTCATGCCAAGAAACAGCCCATAGGTTTGTGGAATTGTGAAAGCTGTCACAGTTGGCAGTCATAAAGTTAGACATAACAAATTAACTTGAGAAGTATAACAGTAAACATACCCCATGACTCAATGCTGTCTCTGTTCTCTCTTTCAGCTTATCCTTCACATCCTGATCTTTAATTCTTGTAAGAAGTATCTTGGCTTTTTCCATAGGAATTCCAGCATTTGTTGCAGCCTAATTACAAATAACACTCACATCCAATCACTTTGATGGATTATAATATTTGGTTTGGCATTGTTACATTGTGAATTAGAATAGTTATCACTCTCCATTTACGGGACATCAAATTGTGAAAAATATTTATCCAAATTCTTGTTTGCTCAATTATATACCCATGCTTTCAATATGACAACTAAAAGTGGCTTAATGAATAGAATCTGTATCTAATATGAAAATATGTGACTGCGTTTTAATTGTGACTTAACCTTTTTACCACCAGTTCTCTCTTTTCATAACAGATTGACAAAATAGTCCCATTTATAGTCTGCACTTTCCTTCAGAAGATTGGGACAAAAATAATTAAATTTTTTGAGTAAAAACTGAAAATTAACACAAATTTTGTCTGTTTGCTCTACAATTAGGGTTGATTTTCAAAAATATTGAAGAATATAAACAAACA